CCGTACGCACACACAAACACTCGCGTACAGGAGGAGCAGCAACGTAGGGGGCAATAAGTAGCCAATGTAGATAAGACAAACCTACACAAAACAACGCAGGTGTATGCCGCGGGTGGCATACTGTGTTACACTTTCAGTTCTTTGGGTATGCCGACGTGGCCCATGTACTTGCGTAGGACGGAAACTGCTGAGTCGGCCTCCTTGTCGCCGTCTTCAGGCTTTGCCTGTTTTGCGCCGATTGGTCCGTGTTCTCGTTCCCACAGCATCCGGTGCTTCTGTTTCATGAAGACGTCCCGAACATCAGCCCAGAAGTGGAGTTCACCATCTGTAGAACGTCAGGAAAGGGTGGAACTTAGCCCTACATTATCACCAATAATTAAGATAACGGAAGAAAAAGCATGCGTCCAATTAACCTACGCGATGTCATCTGACTGCAGTTTATTTACTTGGTTCGCAGAAACAGAACTTATCTATGTGAATTACTGCAGAGTTAATTTATCCAAAGGCACCCCTGGCGTCCTTCAGGGATGTTTCTCCACCAACTATATGAATTCTCAGCATGTGCAGGGTAAATACTTTGGAGAAGGTCAAGGGTCAGTGCTTTAAAGTTTAAACCATGCTGTTGGCTTTAGAGGGTTCATTTGCTAAATACAACCAGTGATGTCCCAGATCGAGGCGACTGTGGTTTAAATGGGCCTCACCACGCTTTCGCGGTCATGTTCGCAGATCCGCCGACAATCTCAGCAAGATCGAGCCGCACTTTTTGTAAAGCGGATAAGGTAACGACGAGATTCAGGCCGGTATCCATTAGATGAGCGTTGCCTTTATCTTGAAATTGAGAATGAGCTAGTGTTGTTCTAACTGCAACAAAATGGCCAAGCGTGCTAATAAGCAGCAGTATCTTCGTTCAACTAGCATTCGCTTAAAAACATTTTGGGTGTTCGGTACAAAAGGGTGTCTAGCAGCCGTACATGAGTTTCTTGACATTATTTACGGACGACTCAGCTACCCCTCCAGACTCTGAGCGTCCTATGACATGTGATCGGAGAACGGGCCTCAATAAGCTGCGCCAAAGGGATAGGACCTAATTTTAATTTTCTTCTACCGGGTTAAAATTGCAAGAACAGCATAAGCAATTAAGTGGGAGTCGAGGAGACGACCTAACACAAATGTGGAAACGAAATGGCAATCTTTCATCGACGGCATCATGATGGGAGGTGACAGTCAAAAATTAAAACAGAGGTCGGTCCGGTTCAATACTGACGGTCTGGGAGGTCCTCGTCCCGACAGGTCAACCTAAGCCCGCAACGATAACTTCTTTAATCAACTCTAAAAATGTGACCGAAAGTGCATTAAGCATGGCAGTAGCAAGGGTTGAAAGTAGTGACTTTCATCTGGCAGACCCTAGACGTCGGCAACGCTCGAAAACGGCTAACTGATATGCCAAGTTGGTAGCTCTGTCCGTGATATAAATCAACCCTTTATTTTCTGACACTCAGCCCAAGGCCGGACGAAAGCCGGGCGAAGGCGTGAGCTCCCGATGAGCTTTCGCAACTTTAACGAACAACCTTCATCGCCGGAGCAAATTTTGACGCCTCACCAATCCGTGCTGTGTGGCTGCGCAAAAACACCACTACAGCAATAAAGCCTATACGATTTTTGTCGGCAATAGTTCTCCAGTGTCATCAGATGATTAAACAAACATAGGAAAATCACACTGTTTCGGGTGACTCGTGTTTGGTTGTTCTGACGCCTACCGTCAGGAAGGGGGGTAGGGCAAGACGCCAGAAGTACCGCAACACAAGCATCATCGACAATGCTAAAAACTTCTTTGTCATCGTAAATTTCAAATTATTTGAAAACGTGCGTGACGCCAGACGGAAAAAAACCCATCCGCGTACCGAGCAGGAAATGGGCGCACCGACCAAACATACGAGCTACGGCGTATTCTCGAACCTCTAGATTGGCTACCGGTAACCGAAAAATACCTACTTTATTTCGCGTTTGCCCTCCT